GTGCCTGTAGTCCCAGCTACTTGGGAAGCTGAGGCAAGAGAATCGCTTAACCCGGGAGCCGGAGGTTGCAGTGAGCTGAGATTGCGCCACTGCATTCCAGCCTGGGTGACAAGAGTGAGACTCTGTCTCAAAAACAAAAAATTATTTATTTTATTTATTCATTTATTTATTTTGGGGACAGAGTCTCGCTCTGCCACCCAGGCTGGAGTGCAGTGGCATGATCTCTGCTTACTGATGCCTTGGTCTCCCGGGTTCAAGCAATTTTGCCTCAGCCTCCTGAGTAGCTGAGATTATAGGCATGCACTAACATGCCCAGCTATTTTTTGTATTTTTAGAGGAGACGGGGTTTCACCATGATGGCCAGGCTGGTCTCAAACTCCTGACCTCAGGTGATCCACCCGCCTTGGCCTCCCAGCATGCTGGGATTACAGGCATGATCCACCGTACCCAGCCAAGCTTATAATTTGCACATAAAAGAATAGAAGTTTCTTCTCTAGGTAAGTTCCAACCAGTTTAGGACAAAAGATCTAAAAACACTACCACCAGGGAACACCTATTAAAAGATCAAATCTAGGCCAGGTGTGGTGGCTCATGCCTATAATCCCAGCACTATGAGGGCTGAGGTGGGTGGATCACCTGAAGTCAGGAGTTTGAGACAAGCCTGACTAACATGGTGAAACCCCATCTCTACTAAAAAATATATATACACACATATATACACACACACACACATATATATATTTATAATATATATACATATATATATATATAAAAATTAGCCAGGCGTGGTGGCAGGCACCTGTAACCCCAGCTATTCGGGAGGCGGAGGGATTCCTGGAACCCAGGAGGCAGAGGTGGCAGTGAGCTATGATTGTGCCATTGCACCCCAGCCTGGGCGACAGAGTAAGACACATTCTACCTGTCTGCAGTTTTCAATCAGTCCCACTCATAGCTGTCCCCACGGACAGCTCAGGACCACCATAACTTTAAGAAAATCTCTAACACAAAGGAACAAAATAAACAGCAAAAAAAAAAAGCAACTTGCAGGAAACAGAAGCCTTGGAGGAACAGGAAAACTTAAAAATTAGGCTGGGCACGATGGCTCCTGCGTGTAATCCCAGCACTTTTGGAGGCCGAGGTGGGCAGATCCCTTGAGGTCAGGAGTTTGCAACCAGCCTGGCCAAAATAGTGAAACCTTGTCACTACTAAAAATTAAAAAGTTAGCCAGGTGTGGTGGCGCAGCTGTAGTCCAGCGACTTGGGAAGCTGAGGTGGGAGGATCACTTGAACCCAAGAGGTGGAGGATGCAATGAGCTGAGATCACACCACTGCACTCCAGCCCGGGCAACAGACCGGGACTCCATCTCAAAAAAAAAAAAATCTTTTTTTTTAAAATTGGTCGGGCATGGTGGCTCACACCTGTAATCCTAGCACTTCAGGAGGCCAAGGCAGGTGGATCACTTGAGGTCAGTTCTAGACCAGCTTGGCCAACATGGTGAAATCATCTCTACTAAAAACACAACAATTATTGTGTTTTTACAAGTGTGCATTACCACACCTGTAATCCCAGCTACTTGGGAGGCTGAGGCAGGAGAATCACTTGAACCCAGGAGGCAGAGGTTGCAGTGAGCTGAGATTGCGCCACTGCACTCCAACCTGGACAACAGAGTCAGAGCCTATCTCAAAAAAATAAAATAAAATTTTAAATTATCATTATTATGTTGAAAGAGATAAGAGAAAAATAGATATAGGACCTATGAAACAAAAACAGGATATTATATTTTTAGAAGAGCATTCAGAACAAAAAAGATAAATGAGATAGATATGAAAAGATGAGTCTGGGAAGGCCAACATTCCAGAAAAAATGATTAAAGAAATGTCCCAGGGAGGAAATGAGCTTCCTGACTGATAAGTACCCAACACAATATATGAAAATAAACCCACAAAAAATAAAAAAAATTAACAAAAAATAAAAAATTAAAATAAACCCACAAGGCAAGCCATTGTGATTTCTGAATACAGAGGACAAAGGACAAAAATCTTAAAGCTTAAAAAAAAATTGCACAGGAGTTCTCAACAGTGATCCTGACAAGTAAAAGACAATAGAGCAAACATTTTTAAATTCTGAAGGAGGGCTGGGTGCGGTGGCTCAAGCCTGTAATCCCAGCACTTTGGGAGGCCGAGACGGGTGGATCACGAGTTCAGGAGATCGAGACCATCCTGGCTAACACGGTGAAACCCTGTCTCTACTAAAATACAAAAAAAATTAGCCGGGCGAGGTGGCAGGCGCCTGTACTCCCAGCTACTCAGGAGGCTGAGGCAGGAGAATGGTGTGAACCCGGGAGGCGGGGCTTGCAGTGAGCTGAGATTCGGCCACTGCACTCCAGCCTGGGCAACAGAGCCAGACTCCGTCTCAAAAAAAAAAAAAAAAAAAAATCTGAAGGAAAAATATTTCAAAGCTAGAATTCTATACCCAGCCATTTGATCAATTAAATGTGAGGGTAAAATAAAGGCCTTTTTAAACAGGTATGGTCTCATTTTCATGACTCTCTTCTTAGGAAGCTACTGGAGAATATGATCCAACAAAAGGTGGGAGTAAACCAAGATACAGGGAGGCACATAAGCCAGGAAACATAGAATCCAACACGAGAGAGGCAAAGGGGGTCCCGGAGGATGATAGTAAAGGAATATCCGAGGATGACAGCAGTTCACCATATACGGTATACCAAACAAGCAGACCACATGGTAGGAACGCAAAGGCTCTGGGAAAGAAAATCCTGAGTAGGTGAAGTGTACAGAATATGTATGAAGATTTATACCTTGAGCACACACTTAGAAAGGCTGTGCATAGAAACAGTAAGAAAAAGAATCTAAGTTTCCCAAAGTGGGAAAATGAATTGATAGATTCCTAAAGCGATAAAGTCAAGAACAGCGCATAATATGTTATTTAGAAATAAGGAAGTTGGCTAGGCGCAATGGCTCATTCCTGTATTCCCAGCACTTTGGGAGGCCGAGGTAGGCAGATCGCTTGAGCTCAGGAGTTTGAGAACAGCCTGACCAACGTGGCAAAACCCCATCTACAAAAAATACAAAAGTTAGCTGGTTGTGGTGGCACACATCTGTAGTCCCAGCTATTTGGGACACTGAGGTGGGAGGACTGCCTAAGCCTCAGAGGTTGAGGCTGCAGTGAGCTGTGAATTGTGCCACTGAGCTCCACCCTGGGAGACAGACCCTGTCTCAAAAAAAAAAACAAAACAACAAAATAAATAATTTTTTTAAAAAGCTGGGCCGGGCGCGGTGGAGATGTGTATAAGAGACAGGGTGAAACCCTGTCTCTACTAAAAAAAAAAAAAAAAATTAGTCGGGCATGGTGGCAGGTGCCTGTAGTCCCAGTTACTAGGGAGGCTGAGGCAGGAGAATGGCGTGAACCCCGGGGGCGGAACTTGCAGTCACTCAGGAGGCTGAGGCAGGAGAATGGCGTGAACCCGGGAGGCGGAGCTTGCAGTGAGCTGAGATCCAGCCACTGCACTCCAGCCTGGGCGACAGAGCAAGACTCCGTCTCAAAAAATAAAAAAATTAAAAAAAAATAAAAAGCTGATGGGAAAGAGGACTGAAATAAGTCATATGCAACAAAATGTTAACAGAGATAGTTTTGGGTGGAAAGATATGGGTTAGTAATAAGTTTTTCTATATTTTTCCCACTTTTTTTTTTTTTTTGAGACAGAGTCTCACTCTGTTGCCCAGGCTGGAGTGCAGTGGCACGATCTCAGCTCACTGCAAGCTCCGCCTCCCGGGTTCACGCCATTCTCCTGCCTCAGCCTCCTGAGTAGCTGGGACTACAGGCGCCTGACACCACGCCCGGCTAATTTTTTGTATTTTTAGTAGAGATGGGGTTTCACCGTGTTAGCCAGGATGGTCTCCATCTCCTGACCTTGTGATCTGCCTGCCTCGGCCTCCCAAAGTGCTGGGATCACAGGCATGAGCCACCACGCCTGGCCTATTTTTCCCACTTTCTACAATCATATTATTATTATTTAGAAAACTACATTTTCTGTAATTAGAGATTACTCTGGATTTTGTAAAGAAAAATGTGGTTCCTGTACCAGATCTTGGAGAAGAGCACGCCTCTGGAAGTCACGGGATATCCAAAGCTGTCTGTCAGATGTCAGGTGGGCTATGATACCTGCAGCAAAATAGCTGACTTCCATTTCCCTGCTACAGAGTAAACTGTTGATATGCTTCAGCGCATCTTCGGTCACCAGCTTGGAAGAGAGCTCTCTGATTTCTGCTATGTTGTTCTACAGGTCAGATGGAGCAGAGAACCCCAGAGACGAGAAGGGAGGGGAGAATCAGGAATTGGCTTTTTTCACTTTCCTGCTTCTCAGGTCAGATACATCCAGAACACTTACTCCTGTACCCACCTCCGCCTCAAGCTAGCCTAAAGCCCACAATCCAACTCCCTTGATGAGGATGATCATTAACAACAGTCACTAAATAGGTACTTACTAAGTGCCAGGCACAGTACTAGATAAACAATTGTCTTTTTATCTATCTTATCTTATTTAATCTTTAAAATACTACAACAAAGAAATGTGACACTAAGCATGACAAACTTGTCACGTTCACACTGCTAATAACTGGATGAACTAGAGTACAAATCAAGGTCTAACTCAAATACTTAACATTACTGAAAGTCTGCTCAAGGTTACGTTATCTCTTAATAATAACAATGAAAGTCAGGCAGTATTTTCTTTATTTTATATGTTACACTAATTTTCTACGCTGTGTAACAAATTACCACAAACTTAGTGGCGTAAAACAATACGCATTTATGATTCCCTGGTTTCTGTGGGGCAGGAGTCTCGGCATGACTTAGCTAGACCCTCTTCTCTGAGATCTCACAGGGCTGCAATCAAAGTGCTGGCTGGGCTGCATTTTCACCTGGAGGCTCCACTGGGGGAGAGTTTACTGCCAGCCTCACTCAGACTGCTGGCAGAATTCATTTCCAGTGGCTGCAGGACTGAGTGATTCAGTTTCTCGCTGGAGACCACGTTCAGCTCCTAGAAGCTGCCCCAAGTTCCTTAAACTGTGGGTTCCTCCCTCCTCCAACCACTTACTTCATGACTGTTTGCTCCGTCAGGGCCACAGAGAGTCCCTACAGTGGGCCTGCTAGCAGGACAGATTACATATATATAAATATATAGCAATGTAATCATGGGAGTGATATCATCTCTGCCATATTCCCTTGGCTAGAATCAAGAAACAGGTCCTGCCCACACTCAAGGGTAGGGGATGTCAGTCTCAGGAGGCTGGAATCACTGGGAGAATCTGTCTACAAAAATGAAAAACCAAAGGTTTAATGAGGTGAAACAGTGAAAGTAAATACAGCAGTTTGTGTTAGTGTTAACTGCTGCTTCTGATGAACCATTCAGGAAAGCACACCCTAGCCACGACTATATTGAGGCACATAGGACACTAAAGATTGAAGCAGATATTGAGATGTCCCCCGGTGCCTGTTTTACCCAAGACCAGCTATATCCCTCATCAACGCATGATTTCAGTGTTAAGTCTACCATGTTACCCCCTAACAAGACATTCTTAGCACAACTGACAGGGACACCACAGGTGAGTCCCAAGATTTTTCTTGTAAATCCTCACATTCTGGATCTCTCAAAAAAAAGAAAGAAAGTGGGCTGGGTGTGGTGGGTCACACCTGTAATCCCAGCACTTTGGGAGGCCAAGGCAGGCAGATCACGAGATCAAGAGATTGAGACCATCCTGGCCTCTCTTTTGGTAGAGACAGTGAAATCCTGTCTCTACTTAAAAAGTACAAAAATCAGCCGGGCGTGGTGGTGCATGCCTGTAATCCCAGCTACTCGGGAGGCTGAGGTGGGAGAATCACTTGAACCCTGGAGGCAGAGGTTGCAATGAGCCAAGATCGCACCATTGCACTCCAGCCTGGGTGACAAGAGCAAGACAAAAAAGAAAAAAAAAAAGAAAAGTGGACAATCTTTTAGGTCAGCTAGTAAGATATGTAGAATTGTTTAGGATATATGAGGCATCAATTCAACTTTCTGGCATTATTTCCCATTCCTTTTCACCTTCCTACTTTTTCCCCAAATTCTAACCATTCCATTTTACAGAGTTCCTCAATGATTACACTTATTTATTACATTATAAATAATCTTCCCTAGCCAAAAATGACTTTGTCCCTTCTTTATACTTTTCCGTACCTTCCAGATTTCCAGTATTAATCATTTATTCCTCTCTGTGAGGCCTTTCACATCTACTTTGTTGTGAGTCCTGTATGTGTGAGATACATGAAGATAGGGCACAGTCCCTCCATGAGTTCAGGACCAAGGCTCCCAATGGACTCAGTGCCTCTCTTGCAGCACTCACTTGTCAGTTGTAAATCAGACACCTATTTGTACACATGTCTAACACTGCCTTCCCGAAGTTATGAGCAACATCACCTTGACATATTTCATGCATCTGTGTCTTTCCAATGCATACGGCATGGCAAAGTGAAGGTGCTTACTATATGTCTTTATTACTTACTGAAAAATCTTCACCTTTAGCTCTAGGAAACAAAGAAATGTCTCAATTGTAGAATACCTTGATTGAGAGGCAGTATATAAGTATCAACAAAGAAATTGCTAAAAAAAATGGACTGCCTGGATAAAGCAGTATAGTAAACTGATTAGTATCAGAGGGTCTGGAGCCAGACTGCCTGAGTGGTGTTTTTTTTTTTTGTTTGAGCAGAGTTTCGTTCTTGTTGCCCAGGCTGGAGTACAGTGGCACGATCTTGGTTCACCTCAACCTCTACCTCCCAGGTTCAAGCGATTCTCCTGCCTCAGCCTCCCAAGTAGCTGGGATTACAGGCATGTGCTACCATGCCCAGCTAATTTTTGTATTTATTTTTAGTAGAGACAGGGTTTCGCCTTGTTGGCCAGGCTGGTCTTGAACTCCTGACCTCAGGTGATCCACCCACTTCGGCCTCCCAAAGTGCTGGGATTACAGGCATGAGCCACTGTGCCCGGCCGAGTTTGAGTTCTAATTAGGATAAACTGCATTTCTGAGACAGATTCTCTATGAAACGTGGATAACAGTGTATGGTAGAATACAAAAATAACACAACCTTTCCTATCCCTGTATATACTCCCCATAGCAATGTGACTTTACTGCCTTTCATCTGGGTTTAAATATATAATCTGTGTTGTCCTATGAAACATTAGCAAGGTGACACAAGCAGAGGTTTAAAAAGCAGTTGGATAGTGGGGCCTGCCCTCTGAGACTGCCACGTGGAGAAGCCCGTGGACAAAAAGCCTGCCAGCTGGTAAGCAGCCCCAACTGTCAGACATGAGAGTCAGGCCTTCTTAGACCCTCCAGCCCCAGTCAAGCCACCAGATGACTGCAGTTACATAAGTGACCCCACATGAGACCAGACAGACCAGAAGAACTTTACAGCTGAGCTGAGCTCAAACTACTGACCCACAGATTCATAAGTAAATTAAACGGCTACTGTTTTAAGCCACTAAGCTATAGTTTGTTCACAACAATAGATAACTGATACACAATGGTATTTACTCTGTAGGACTAATGTAAAGATTAAATGAGTTTATACATGTAAATTGCTTACAATAGTGCCTAGCATACAGTAGGTACTATATAAGTGTTAGGTTTTGTTTTCAAGCAATTAAAATTAATTCAAAACAATTCACCTTACCAAAAGACCAAGTACTTTGCTTTGTATTGCTGACTCTGAAAACGTCTGTCAAAAAAATATATATATACAGGTTACTTTATCATGAAGAAAAGAACTTTACATATAAATTCAATCCTGTCGTCCCACCTCCAAGACTTGGATGAAGATTTCCAATCCTTGATTTTCAATAAAGTGCTTGCAGGCAGCTGGAGACCCATCTGTAAGATTCCAAAGTGCTTTCAAAGTAAACAAGAGGGTGACATCATCTAAATTCTTAGTAGTCTTTTGTTTTACTATTGCTAGAAGTTCCTAAAAACCAAAGAGACAGGGAGTTAGATGCTGTAATGAATAATCAATTGCAGTATAAAGAAAGCATTGTTAAGATGCATCAAACCTCGGTTCTAAACCCAAGTTCTGCCACTTAGTAGCTTTGTGATCTATTTTCTTTCTATAAAATAAATTACAACTACTTTTTACAGTTTTTGTGAGGATTAAATGAAAAAAATTTAAGTTTAGTGAGCACTTAGTCCAGTTCTTGGTATATGGTCATTAAGTTCATAATCAAGTACATTATTAGCTATTCCATTATTTTTATTTAGAACACTTACTCAACACCTTCTTTAAACCAAGTACAAAAAAAAAAAGTGGGCCAGGCGCGGTGGCTCACGCCTGTAATCCCAGCACTTTGGGAGGCCAAGGCGGGCGGATCACGAGGTCAGGAGATCGAGACCATCCTGACTAACACTGTGAAACCCCGTCTCTACTAAAAACACAAAAAAATTAATCGGGCGTGGTGGCGGGTGCCTGTAGTCCCAGCTACACGGGAGGCTGAGGCAGGAGAATGGCGTGAACCCGGGAGGCAGAGCTTGCAGTGAGCCAAGATCCCGCCACTGCACTCCAGCCTGGGCGACAGAGCGAGACTCCGTTTCAAAAAAAAAAAAAAAGTAGAAGTCAGACAAAAAAAAGTTGACTTTTTAAAATTAAAAAGTTGACTTTTTAAAATTAAAAAGTTAAAATTTTTTAAAATTAAAAAGTTGACTTTTTAAAATTAAATAAAAGAATTTTAAATTTTGGTTAATTATCTGATGGAAACACATAAAAGCCTAAAATTTAGGCTTTAGGAAGGGTGGGAGAAGGGAGCCTCCATACAAAAATAATATGTAACTGAGGTCAGAAGAAAAAGAGGATAAACCAGCCCAATAAGAAATGGGGACAGGCAGGAATGGGGCTCAGGGGAGAGGGGAGGAAGCACATGCCAAGCGAAGTTTGGGGCAGGAAAGTCTGCTGCTCTAAGCCACTGAGCAGGTCAGTGGGGCTAGAACACCAGGACAGCGTTCCATCACATGACCTCACATCCTGAAGAGGCCACTGGTTCACTTTAACAGACTGCAAAGTACCATTTGAGATCAACATTTCTAGAAAGAAGTCAAGCTAGTATTTACAGCCTCTTTCAATATCAGACTGTCATGCGAGAGGAAAAAGACAATTTTCACTTTAACCAGCTGATGAAAAGATACATAAAATATAACAAAGCACCAAACAAATCAGAATGTGTATTTTCAAGAAGAATGAGACCACCTCAAATATTCTGCCCAATCAGTTGAGAATGTGTCAAGAGACTTCATCACAAAAATAAATCTGTGAAAGTCAAGAGGAGAAGAAAAGAGTGGCAGATGAGACGGGTGCACTCACCTAGGCAGCTAGTTAGATGAATGAGAGCAAGACCAGGAGCCGGGGAAGTGAGCCTGTCCCTGAGCGTATCACAGTGGCCAGGCCCTTGATCACACAATTTAGCTTAATGATACTCAAAATAACTATGCACTGTTACTACTATGACAGATGTCATTTTTTCAACTGAGACTCGTTTTCCAGATGAAAAATCTAAGACACAGAGGAGACTTATCCGTTGTTATATGACAAGTGCCTAGCCTGCTCGCTTTACCTGTACCTTATCTAGTCCTGTTACCCCTCCCAGCAACTTTATGTTCCTCGGATATGTTCGTCTATAACATTGTATGGCAAAACTCCTATCTGAGTTAAACGTAACTATCAGTTACTTCATAACTCCCAACATTCAACATATTAATGTTGAAAAAGACTGAGTTCACCTGGTCTCAATTTCAACATCTGCTCATAAATTTCAAAAGAGCACTTAACTGTATTTGTCAGTACTACTTTATCTCCTAATGAATTTTCTCCAAAGACTACTACTACTTCTCTCTCTTCAAACTTGAATCACCATCTTCTCACTCCCCTCATTTGATTTCTTCATCTTCTTTTTCATTGAGAAATACACCCACTCTTCCTAACAAAAGCTACCAACCTACTTGCACTTGCATCAATATACTCTGCCTTCCCTTCTGCTCCAATCTAAAGCCAACATCTTTACTTTTACTCTAAACCCAATTTCTGCACATACAGAGATTCAGCACCAAAATTATTTCCTTTTATTTTGCTTGTGGCACCAACTTCTCCCTCTTTAGAACTCTTCTCGTGGGCACAAAATATGTCTTAATGTAGTCGATCTTTTTAAAGACTGACCCCACCTCTGCTTTCCCTCTCATTAAATTATATCAAAAAGTTACATCCATTTCTCACCTCCCATTTGCTATTTCATCCTGCTCCAATCAGGTTTTGGCCTACCACCCCACTGAAATAAGCAAGTTGACTAATGACTTCCTCTCACCAAATCCAATGGTCAGCTCTGTCCTCATGTCACTCCACCACTCAGTAGTATTTGATATAATGGCCCAATTTTTCCTGAAACATTCCTCTTGGATTCTAAAACACCCTCTCTTGGTTTTGCTTCTAATGCACTTTGGATGCTCCTGCTCAATCTCCTTTTCTGGTTCATCCTTCCCCCCGCCCCGCCCAGTAAACACGCACATCTAGGAGAGACTGTAGGTTCAATTCCAGACTACCACAATAAAATAACAAATAACAAGTTACACAAATTTGTTTTCCCACTGCCTACAAAAGCTATATTTACACTATAATGTAGTCTGCTAAGTGTGCAATAGCACTATGTCTAAAAAACAATGTGGATACCCTTTTTTTTGAGACAGTCTCACTGTGTTGCCAAGGCTGGAGTATAGTGGCATGATCTCAGCTCACTTCAATATCCACTTCCCGGGTTCAAGGGATTCTCCTGCCTCAGCCTCCCAAGTAGCTGAGATTACAGGC